CTATACAGGACTACCTTGAACAATTGAATAAATGAGTATCACATTAAAGCATTTATGAACATGTGATTATGTACGATGAGAAAATACTAAGTGGAATTCTTGAAAATTTGGGGCAACCAGTTAATCTATAGCAGTAATAGGTGTTCAGTTTATTTGCATATACATATGCGATCTTCTTTGCAAGTAGGTACAAAATGCTATTTTGACTCATTCTTTCTCAAAGGCATTAATATATTTATTGTAGTTTCTGCATTTACATTATAAAGTTAGCATGCCATCATGACTGGACATTTTACAAATAATAAATATTGAAAAATAAATATTCTGATATCCATCAAAATACAGTTACATTTAACATTTTGGCATATTGTCTCTCATTTTTCCTATGCACAGTATTTTTACATAGTCATGCTTAAGTTATACACACAAGTTTTTACACAAAACCGTAAAACTCTAAAGACTTATTTTTAAGTTGGAATTCCAAAAAGTGCAATTACCTAGTCAAAAATTGTGGACATTTTTAAGGCTTTACTATGATTGCCGTCTTGGTTTCCATGTTCCAGTTTTCACTCTTACCTGCAATATGAAATTACTGGAAAAATTTACACCTTTGTCAGTATTCGTTCAAAAAAGATGTAGTGCATAGCTCTCATTTATCTAGACCCAGGAGATGCCATAGTGAGCAATACTGTACATTTCACTTTTCCTCATGAAACTCACAGTCCAGAGTTTCACATCTCTAGGCAAGAGGGCGTATTTGAGACAGGTAAGTTTACAGGAACGGAATCAATGTGGGAGATTATGGGATATTTGTAGGCAGCCCACAGTGTGCTGCAGCCCATGGGATTGCAAAGGGTCAGAACAACACAGTGACCCAGGTTGGGCTACATGCTGAAGATGGAAGGGGAATAGTGGGAACCAAGGTCAGGCAGGTCAGATGGGCCCCTGCTGCTGCAGACTGAGTCATTTGGTGGGTGTTGGAGACTTGATGCTCATTCCCTGGTCTGATGGACAAGAACAGCACTCCGCGTGGCCTGGGAGAGGCCACGAGGGGTTGAACACTTGCTGGCAGTGAAAATAGAGAAAGGGAAAACAGTGAGAGAGATTTTGAAGACTGTGTCTGTAGGAACTGGGCAACTCATTGAATGGAATATAAAAGGCAAGCATGGTGTTAATCTGAGGGGGCTAACAATTAACATCAGTGGTCAGGTCAGAGTGGACCTTTGACTGAAGCCGATGGAGATAGAGGAACTGAAGCGAAAATGATACTGTAGGAAGTTTAAACTTAAACGGTGTTAAATTTATGATTTTGATGAGGATTTCATGGGTGGAGATTTATTGGAAATGTGGTCAGTGGCAAAGCAGGACAGATCTTAGAAGAGATTTTCAGGAAATGTGGTCATCTCTAACTTTACGTTATGGCTTTACATTATAGAGTCAGCTCCAAGTATGCAGGATTAGAGGGGTTAGACACAGCCCAAGATAACCTTTGAGAATCTAGTTTAAAGAAATAGATGTTTGCATTTCATTTTAAGTTGTTTAAGATTTAAGTTGTTTAGTCTGATTGTTCAATTACAGGTTACATAATTTAGTTGTTAAGTGGGCAGGATCATGTCAGTCCAGCTTTGCACTTACTAGTCATGTGCTGTTTGTCAAATTACCTCATTGTGCTCTGTCTTTACTTTCTCATTATCAAAATGGGCTTCCCATTTTGTAAGTAAATTGTGGTGAAAATTCAGTGAGTTAATTGTGGCACCTGAGAAGAACAGTCAATATTACTATGGTTTCTAAAAACAAAAAAGAAAAAATAAATACTGTGAAAGTAGATAAATAGAAATCAGTTTGGTTTTCTTTTCTTGAAATTAAATAAGAACTCAAAAATTCAATTTTGTATTTTACTTGTAATTTCTTAGCAGGCATGAGGTGTGGTTAGAAATTAGGTTCTCAGCCTAATGTCCTCCAGGTTCAGTCCTGTTATCACAAATAGCAGGATTTCCTTTTTTATGACCAAATAATATTCCACTATATATCTACACCATGTATTTCTTTATCCATTCATCTGTTGATGGACACTTAGGTTGTGTCCACGTCTTGGTTGTGGTGAATAATGCTGCAGTGAACACGGGGGGTGCAGATATCTCTTTGAGATCCTGATTTCATTTCCTTTGTATATGTGCCCATAAGTGGGATCTTTGGATCCCATGGATCAGTTTTCATGATGATCAGTTTACTGATCAGTTTTACTCATCAGCATGAATAACCTCCATTCTGTTTCCCACAGTGTCTGCACCAATTTACATCCCCACCAACCATGTACAACGGTTCCCTTTTCTCCACTTTCTCTCCAGTGCTTATTCTATCTTTTTAATAGAAGAAACAAAAGGAAGGGGGCTCTCTCTGTAAGTACGAAGGGACTTGTAAGGGTCACGTGTCTTCTCACTTTCTTGCCTGGTATACTTAATTCAAGTCCAGAAGATATCATAGCTAAAATATAGGATTACTAAAAGTGAGTGATCCAGAACATAAAGCTTTTGCAGAAAAATTTTCTGTCTCTGAAATGCTCTGTTTGTTTTCATGGCAACTAAGAATTCCTGCCCCATCCCACCTTTTCACTTTTGTTCCCTTCTTTTTCTGTGCTACCTATTTTCAGTGACAAGCATAAATATAATACAGCAAAACTAGGAAAACTCAGTACTTAAACATTCAATAGTACTTATTGGGTGATGAGCAGAGTAAGGTACAAGAGTAATTTTTTCACTAAGGCACATATTAGAATTATGTGATTTTTAAAGTTATATACTACAGAGTAAGGAACATACAGGGCTTCCCATGTAGCACTAGTGGTAAAGAACCCGCCTGACAGTGCAGGTAGACATAAAAGACGTGGGTTCGATCCCTGGCTCAGGAAGATACCCTGGAAAAGGGCATGGCAACCCACTTATGTATCCCTGCCTGGAGAATCCCATAGACAGAACATTCTGGTGAGCTACAGTCCATAGGGTCAGGCACAGCTGAAGTGACTGAACACACACACACACAAGGAACATACATGACACAATTGTAATAATCACTTTTAGTGTGAGTGTTAGTTACTCAGTCATGACTGACTCTTTGTAACCTCATGATCTGTCCATGGGATTCTCCAGGCAAGAATATTGGAGTGGATTGCCATTCTCTTCTTCAGGGGATCTTCCCAACCCAGGGATGGAAGCCGGGTCTCCTGCATTGCAGGCAGATTCTTTACCACTTAATAATCACTTAGATGTTTCTTTCTAAAATCCTACTCCTCCAAAAACACCTGTATTCTAATATGCTTGATTACACAAATGCTGCCATGCTGTGGTTTTCTTGCATTATTTTCCAGATTCTTCAATATCACAGTGTCTTTGAAGAAAATCTGTGCCAAGGGGCCATTTCTCAAATGATCAGTCACATCAGATGTACATAGAAACAGATGCTGTCATTCTTTTTAATTTCCTGAGAACTAAACAAAAGGCTGCGGATATTCTGTTTTGAACAGCTTTTTTGGTTTCTTTTTGCACATTTGTGTGTGTGTGTTCACCTGTTTGCCATCCATCATTTTTTGATCAATTACAACATGCTCAGTTTCATCATTCTGTAACAACTGCCTGTTTTGACAGCATGACCATATTTGCATGTCTCATTCAGGGGTTTTAGAGAGATGCTAGTTGCCATGGGGAGGATTCTGATGTCTCCCATCAAATCTAGTCATGAGATGGTGGTGACCTTTGAAAAGCCACATGCAAATATTTATTTTCAAAGGTACAGTTGGCTCTTTGTGAAGCACCGGATCAGTAGACTGGCTATCTCTTCGATGAATCATCTAATGAGAAGTCTGTTACCTTTTGTGTAATTTCCCTTTTGGTTTTAATAAACTCCCAATGTCCCTGACCTTTAGCCACTTGAGACAAGAATAAAAATCCATAGTGTATAATATTACTATCCCTTGTAGTTATATAAATTATATAGGATTATCTGTCTAATTCATCTAATTGGTCTGGATTATGGCCAGAGATTATTGGAGATTCAGCTGAAGCTGAATGCAATACAACTCCAATACTTTGGCCACCTAATGCAAAGCAGTGACTCACTGGAAAAGACCCTGATGTTGGGAAGGATTGAAGGCAGGAGGAGAAGGGGATGACAGAGGATGAGATGGTTGGATGGCATCACCGACTCGATGACGTTTGAGTAAACTCCGGGAGCTCGGAATGGACAAGGAGGCCTGGTACGCGGCAGTCCACGGGGCTGCAAAGAGTCGGACATGACTGAGCGGCTGAACTGACTGACTGGTGGCCAGAGAACTTAGCTTTGTTACTGTGTCTCGGCCTGAGCTCAGAAGTTGATTTTCACATTTTCCTGTGGATCACATCTAAGTACACAATACTTCCGTGCAATTTCCCTCCATATCAGGGCTTTTTCTGCAAATGTGTACCAAATGTTAGTATGGGTTTTTTTTTTTTAATAAAAGTTTTTCACATTTGGGGATTACCTGTCAAATTAAGTGAAAAAAAAATTCTGTTATAAAGCCTTTGATATGGTTTCTTAAAGCCAGGAGTTCGCAAAATTCTTGTCCCACTATCCTGAATATTAGTTTAAACTAATACCTGCTAATTAGTTTATGACATAACTAATAGCTTAATAGATTAAGTAGTTTAATCATTTTAAGTAGTTATTTAAATACATACATGTCAGGTTTTTTGAGGTTTTTTAAAATTATCTGTTATCTAAAGTTTATGACTTTACGACTTCACGTAAAATAAGTTTACACTTGCATTTTCCTCACCTCCCGTGATCAGCATCTTCTGGTTTGAGAAATGCAGACATTCCTGGGAAACATAAATTAAAAGGTGCTTCTATAAGGTGCTTCTATAAAATACCCTCTTCCTTCTGAAAAAGAAAGAAAAGAAACAGGGAAGAAAAAAGAAATTCTATTGTGATGCATTGTGAGGCTTATGACCTCTGTGTTTGCCTTTCAGATCCCCAGCTCAAGGGTATAGTGACCAGGTTATATTGCAGGCAAGGCTACTACTTGCAAATGCACCCCGATGGAGCTCTCGACGGGACCAAGGACGACAGCACTAATTCTAGTAAGTGACCACCCCAGGCCACCGGTTCACACAATTGGTAGGAAAGACACTGCTGCTTAAATGACTTTACAAATACATTTGCAAATATTGGGTTACGTGAGTTCACTTTTACAAATGTTATACCCTAGAATTCCATTGACAATTCTTCTTGGACCACCTGAATAGAAATATTCATAGAGCCACAAAAGAAACCTGTCATTTTAAGAGAATTATTCACCTTTTCAGTTTTTTCCCCAAGCAGTTGTCATATCCAGTGTTATTGATACTTGAATCTCATTATCATCAAAGTAACTGCACTAATGCATTCAGATGAAAGTTGATTACCTGTTTACTTTGGAAGTTTTGTCTTTGTGAGACCTGTAACTTCTTTTTTTTTTTTGAAATTAATGTATTTATTTTAATTGAAGGCTAATTACTTTACAATATTGTAGCGGTTTTTGCCGTACATTCACATGAATCCGCCACGGGTGTATGTGTGTGTAGCTTCTTAATGATAACTGTGTACATTCAAGAACAATAAGGATTAGTTGTTTCAAATAATAGAAGTGTTATTTTTCAAATTCTTTGTCTTCAAGATAATTTTTCTTTATAGAGGGAACATGAAGGCTGTGTACTTTTTAATGCACTGTATGAATTATTTACTTATAAAATTGGATCTGTGCTTTTTTTAAATTAAAAAAGCCACCCACCTTCCATTGTTTTCATGTCTGTCTTCATTTTGCTATTTCTTTACATATAACTTTTCTTTGTATTTTTATTCTGGCCCTCCTTCTCTTCAGTTTTCTGTGTTTTTGTTTCCTATTTTCTGTTCATACTGGCCTCTGATTCCCTTTAATTTAGCACATCAGTTCTAAAGTAGACACTTTTCATTGCTCAGGAGAATTAGTGAAAAGCAAAAATCAATTTTATTGGAAATATTTAATCATACGTTACTAGTGGATATGAATCTTTTCCTCGATTTAGCATTTATCCTTCACATACAGAACATCATTCCATGGGACGAAGGAGGCTTTGAACACATATAACCAAATTATAGACAGTTCCTGTTTTAAAGTCTAGTCATCAACTGTTCAGATACACTGATTCTGAGAGAAGCTAATAATATAAAGTAGGCTATTTTTGCATTTGGTGTTGCTAAGTGAAATATCATTATTTTCCCAAACATTGTGCTTGTATTTTAGACTTTGGACATTATTTCGTTTTTTAATTTTTCTTTCAACTTTAAATATTTTCTTTATCTATATTTCCTCCTATTCAATTTTTAATCTTTTTGTCTCCTTATTTCTATTATGTCATCCTTATGTACTTTAGGCTTTTCCCTGTCATATTTGTTAATTGATTTTTGTTTGCTTTATTTCCTCTTGATTTAGAAATAGAGAAGGTAAAGCAATTCAGACACAGGGAAGAAAGAGAATACACTTTTATTCATTAAATTGGCATCAACGTTGTTTACCTGTTGGGATTTTGATATTAGGTTGAACTCTGAAAATCATCAGCACTTAACCATCTCTGACCTACAGAAGATGTTCGTTTCTTCTGATTCATGTTTATATATATTTCATATATATGTATGTGAATATATATATATATCCGCTAATTTTCCTTTCTCAACTTTAAACTCCTCACCTACTCTTTGACAAGAGGCATTCTCTTTTTCTTGTGTGTTATAGTCATGAGGATCATGGGCTTTAGATTCCTAAGTTCTCATGTCTTCAATGTCTCTGGTTTTCTTTAGCCAGAGTCTAGCAGAGCATGAAAGCAAGTTTTCTGTAAGTCTGATCACAATAAGAGCTATGACACTCTGATTTATCAGACTAGAGGCTGTCATCCATCAGACAAAAAATTTCAAAGAAAGAAAAAAATTATAGCTATACGAAAATGCTGCTTAGCTGGACTTCTTGAAAAAATAGCTTCCTTCAAGCAAATATTTTATGAGTTTTCTCTTACCTTCTCCTTTTGTTTTTGTAGTCCCAAACAAGTTGTTTTTTTTCATGATGGAATCAATATAAAGTTAAGAAATATCAGTAGACACTGCTTTTTAAAAGCATATTGCATCACAATTGAATAAGCAGCACAATATTTTCTAAATTATGAAAGTGCAGGTGTAGAAATTATACTCACACATGATTATATCTGGTTATCTGCATAGTATTAAACACTGGACTGGGAAGCTGAGATACTAAAAGATACTGGACCTTTTCTCTAAATGTATGAGGCTTTTTTCCTGGAAGAGAATCTTTGTTTGGCTCTTGAAATCCTTTCTAATCCCCCTCAATGCTGGTGAGGAACAGTTCTGGGAACCAGGCAGGAATGGGAACCCCGATGGACAAGCAAATCAGAACCAAATTATAGTGACCGGCCTGCAAGGGCTTCCATTCCTATGCAAAGATCTAGCCCACAGCTTCTTCTCAGTTACCATTGTGATTTCTGTGCCCTTTAAGTCAGTAAGGTTAGTTTCCTTACTGTTTTAACATTTGCAAAGACAAAGCAGAACAGAATAAAACAGACTGAGATAAATGTTCCCTCCTCAAAAGGTTATGAAAACTGCATGACTGCAAATTTTATAAAACATTGCAGGATTATAGCAGCTTTGTAAAAGCAATGGGAATTACTAATTAACTCAACTTTTTCGTACTATCACCATCTTAACTGAAAAGCACAAGCTTTTAGGATGAATTTTAACATATCTTCTTTTCTCTGGTTCATCACAGTAGTCTTATACATTCTGGGAAAATCATTAGCCCTGAAAAGTGATCTTTAGAAATGAAGGTCAGAGATGCAGACAGACAGACAGGTCCTCAGCAGAGCACTGCCCTCTTTGCTTGAGCTAAGTCACTTCAGTCGTGTCTGGCTCTGTGACCCCAAAGACGGTAGCCCACCAGGCTCCTCTGTCCGTGGGATTCTCCAGGCAAGAATACTGGAGTGGGTTGCCATTCCCTTCTCCATTTTGCTTGAGAGTGTGATGTAATTATTCACAAACATTCCAGTTTTTTGCTATTTCTCTGAATACAAAATGAAGATTAGTCATCCATAGGTAGGAAAAATAAAGAGGAATTACCTAAAAGTCACCCTGATGGCACCCCAGAAGTCACCAAATGGGAGAACTGAGGCTTGACCCTCCATGACTGGAGCTCATTGCTATCCCACTAGTAAATATGAGATTACTTAGAACTAGGTAAGGGCTTCCCTGGTGTCTCAGCTGGTAAAGAATCCACCTGCAATGTGGGAGACCTGGGTTCGATCCCTGGGTCAGGAAGATCCCCTGGAGGAGGGCATGGCAACCCACTCCAGTATTCTTGCCTGGAGAATCCCATGGACCAAGGAACCTGGCGGGCTATAGTCCATGGGGTCACAAGTCGGAGGTGACTGCGGCTGAGCAATCAAGCACAGCACAGCTATAGGTGAAGTCAGAACCACCTGCTAAGCTTTCTTGGTCAAAAAATTTAAATGCCTTGAAAGGGAGAAAGGGCGGCAGGCAAACCTAATGCCCTGACGCTTGTGCCCTCCCTGGGTCACCAGCTGAGATCTACAACTTTCTGGGCAAGAAAATGGGCAGGGTGGATGACTGGTCCTAACTGAGAGATTCTGAAATAACTCACCTGCTTACCCACGCTTCTGGTGCCCTGGAAACATCTTTCACAAAAGGAAGTGAATGCCCAAGATAGTTTATCATCACACTCATTTTCCAGAGTGCGTTGCTTTGAAATTCTTAGAGCTGCCCTTCTATGCACCAAAGATAAGCATTACCATGACTATGGTATTTGATTAGAGAATGATTTTTTTCTTCAGTTTACTTTTGGGAAGTGGCCAAAAGTTTGGGATTTTCTTGTGTTCTTAAAGGTCACTGTTCCCACTACCAGATACTGCAAGCAGAAGAGGGCTATAGAAATATTCATGTGTCAGCCTTTATTGCTAGATGAAAGCCCCACCCAAACCAATCCCTCTTACCTTGGAGATTCCCAACCTGATAACCTGATGCATAAAACCAGCTGGTGCCTCATAATGCTCACTATTTGACAGGCCTCAGGAAGGTGGTTCTCACCTTGTCTGTAGGTTAGGATCATTTGAGGAGCTTTAAAAAAAAAAAAGTTCCCGATGCCCTAAACCCACTCCCAGACACTCTGATTTTATTTCATTGCTCTGAAGTTGGACAGTCCCTGGTGGCTCAGATGGTAAAGAATCTGCCTGCAATCCTGGAAACCCAAGTTCGATCCCTGGGTCGGGAAGATTCCCCTGGAGAAGGAAATGGCAACCCACTCCAGTATTCTTGCCTGGAAAATCCCATGGACAGAGAAGCCTAGTGGGTTACAGTCCATGGGGTCGCAAACGGTCGGACACGACTGAGCGACTTTATTTTCACTTTTCAGTTTCTTTCATCCTGTCTTATGAATACAACTAGTTTTAAAGTGCAGCCAGGGTTGAATGAAATTCACTATCGTATGGAGACTGGAGTGTTCCACAGAATGAACAAAGTATCATGAACATCATTATTCTTACTGCCTTAGGCCTTGTGGCCTTTATAATTTTGTGGCCTTGTAGGCTTTATAATTGTGTTAGATACAAAAAGGCTAAAAACCCATAATGATGTTTCAATTAATGTGAGTATCTGTGGTTATGACAAGCACCGTGGATCCGTCATGGTCAACTCTGAATGGGCTTCCACATTACAGTGGTTCTATGGATACACTGTCTGTTTTCCTCCTATAAATGATAACTATCATTTTATAATTCAGGTCTCAACCAAAACCCTGGGGAGGGGGAAAGTTTTCTTTTTTTTTTTTTTTTTTAAATACAGTATGGGGCTTCCTTGTGGCTCAGCTGGTAAAGAATCCACCTGCAATGTGGGAGACCCAGGTTCGGCCCCTGGGTTGGGAAGATCCCATGGAGAGGGTAAAGGCTACCCACTCCAGTATTCTGGCCTGGAGATTTCCATGGACTGTATAGTCCATGGGGTCACAAAGAGTCAGACACAACTGAGCGAATTTCATTTTCACAGTCATTTTAGACTATCTTCTATAATTTTACTCTTCCCCATACTATATTATTTTCATGAGTTCATGATACATTATCTTCTAGAATTATTCCACCTGGACTATATCAATTATCTGGCACCTCCAAAACCATTTGGGCTTGCCAGGTGGCGCAGTGGTAAAGAATCCACCTGTTAATGCAGGAGATGCAAGGATGTGAGTTGGATCCCTGGGTTGGGAAGGTCCCCTGGAGGAGGAAATGGCAAGCTTCTACAATATTCTTGCAGTCCATAGGGTTGCAAAGAGTCGGACATGACTAAACACACACACAATACCATCAGACATATATGAAAGTTAGAATAAATACATTTGAATAGGTTCAGATGGAATAGTTTACATGGGCAGATGCACAATTATAGTTTTCCCTAAAAACTTTTGCAAATAAATCAGGAATTATCCTATGGTGCCAATTCTCTCAAAATATTAGCAAGATGGCACAGTTCAGGTGTTACAGAAGAGAGTGAAAGCATCCAGTGACTTTCTTCCATGAAGAAGGAATACTGAGGAGACATCCCTGGTGGTCCAGTGGTTAAGATTCTGCACTTCCAGTTCAGAGGGTGCGAGTTCAATCCCTGGTTGGATGACTGACATCCCACCTGCTGCATAGCGCAGCCAAAAAATTAAAAAAGAAGAAATACTGAGAGTTGCCATGACACAAATATTCAATAACTCCACACTCATATTTAACATTATATAATATAATAGAATAAGCAAACATAAGCCTTATTCCTCTGTAAGGATATTATAAGCCCCTAGAATCCTACAGAAGACAGTTCAGTGCTAGTTTGCATCCTGAAAGTGAATATCCACCAAACCTGATGCCCCTAAATGTTCCTGTAGGGATAATTCTCAAGGGTCATGGTCAGCCAATTCTCCTTTCATCATCTGAGTAACACAGACATCTTGAGATCTCAAAATCAGTAACATATAGTAATTGGAAGAGGGAGTGTAATCTCTCCCCACTAGATCAGAGAAAACATGTGCCTTGGAGTTAAATAGAATACAGTTTAGAAAATCCATTTAAAACTATGTACTGAGTAGACCCACAGATTTAAGTCAAAATTGTCCACATCTTTCAAATTATTTATTCTTTGTGAAATATAAGCAAGAGCCTAAACCTAAGATATTTTTCTTGTACATTTACTTCAACACTTTAGTGCTTTCATTTCCTCTTCTGGGCTGGTTCTCTTACTTAGAATTAGACTTGAATTAAGAATGCAAATGGAAGCAGATAACCTCTCATAATTAACGATAATCTTATAAATGTGTCTATGATAAACTCTCCAAGCAGTCATCACCAAGAATGATGCTAGACACTTCCCAGGAGGTTCAGTGGTTAATACTCTGCACTTAATTGCAAGGAGTGAGAGTTCAATCCATGATCTGGGAACTAAGATTCTACATGCCATGTGGCCAAAGGGGCAAAATAAGAATGATGCTAAAATTCTCACTGCTCAATCATATGTAACCCTAGCATGGAAATGAATTATTAAGGACGTTAATTAAGACTTTTTAAAAAAATCAGTGATAACATTGCTATCTGCAGTGTGAAACTTACATACGAATACATTTTTGGTCAATAAAGGAAGAAATAGAACATGGAAACTTTCTTATCTCTTAAGTGGGTAAAATTGAACACTTTTCCCTCTTTGTTTTAGTTTTCACTCTAAATGGTTTTATGAAATATTAAAGAAGAAAATTCCCTCTCTGAAATTCGTATGCCATCCAGTGTGATTAGTTCTTTCTAAATTTAGCAGGCAGGCAGGTGCACATCTTTTTTGGGTTCTGTTGATGTCATGTTGGCTCTGCAAGAGTAATTTAGGTTTGGAATTACCTTTTTAACTTCTTGCCTGTACTGCATCACAATAATGAAGCAAACCTTCCACCTAAAAGACCAGAATAAGCACTCAACTTAGGGTACTTCCCTGGTGGCCCAGTGGTTAAGACTTAACCTTCCAGTTCAGGGAGTACAGGTTTGATCGCTGGTGGGTCAGGAACCTAAGATCCCACACGCCTTGTGAGTGAAAAACCGAAACATAAAACAGAAACCATATTGTAACAAATTCAATAAAGACTTTAAAAATGGTCCGTGTTTAAAAAAAAAACTTCCTAGCTGATTTTTTCTGGTATCAAATGGTGTCAGAGACTGTGATGCTAGAGTCGTGATTATAGGCTTGATTCTGTTTATTATCCCACCGTTCTTCAGAATGCTATAGGGAGCCTGCTAAGATCTACAACTCAGAGCTTAAGTGCTATCTTGACTCATAACAAAACTTCTTAAATAGAGAGATAGAAGGTAATGAATTAGAACCTCTCAGAAGGTTATAACAGACATAATGTCTCTCAAGTAGAATAAATGAAACAGAAACGTGATGGGGGTAGGTATTCTGCTTCTCCCTACCCATTGTTGACAGACCGTCTTTCTCTTTGCAGCACTGTTCAACCTCATCCCAGTGGGACTGCGCGTCGTTGCAATCCAGGGAGTGAAGACGGGGTTGTACGTAGCCATGAACGGAGAAGGTTACCTCTACCCATCAGTAAGTAACACATCCAAGGGATTGGCCACCCAGCTAAGCCACCACAAAAAGGAGAATGTTCTGTCTGGTGATGCCTTCAGTTTCACTTTAGTGTCTGACCTTTACGACAACACCTACGCGCTGTTAATTCATGATTGAGCAATGTTTGATAATGCATTACTATATCAAGCAGAAGAGGAACGTTACCTCTTAAGGTTGTGCGTTTGCATATTTTTATATGCCCCAGTTCATCGAAAATTGAGAAATTTTGAAGGGATTGGCTTTTTTTTTAAGAGATCTTATCCACTTTATTCAAATATTCCAACTTAAGTTTTATGCTAGGTAGTTGATGTTATATAAGCAGATCCTTTTCTTGCCTTCCTTTTAAATATAAGGTGGAGAACACAGGCTGATACTTTATAGGCTAAGAAAAGTGCAGTAGTAATATCTGTCCACTTTTAAACCCAAATGAAATTTTATTACCTAATTGCTATTAGAAATTGATATTAATGTAATCTTTTTCTATTACTGTTTAGAAATGTACTTTTCTTAGGGAGTTTCTTGTAAAAGATTATTTTGCAACTTAAGCAGAGCAGAAGGGTTCTCTGGGGACTCCCATGAAATGTGATATATTTTCTTCAGAAAAATCTGGAAAATTCCTGTCAAGGAAAATGAAACCTGAGCCGTGGATTCCCTTCCTGTTGAGCTGAGACATGCTCTAGTCGTTCTGAAAACTTCTTGCTCTTTCCCTGAAGGCCATTCCTGTATGCAGACCTGGGCTCTGCATTATGCAAATTGCATTCGGTTGCCCGAGATGAATATTCAACATATTGGGAGCCAGAGGAAGCTGAAATTCCCTATCTCCCCTTTAGAAAAGCTCTACTCAGATAAAGATCATTTCCTAGAGATGCCTTATCTCAAATGAAAGTCAGTTTCATGGATTTGATGCGTATGCTCTTATTTTTGTTTCTTTGTCTCCCCCAGTCATCTCTGAAATGCCTAAAAGTGATCAGATGCAGTTTCTGCCATCGCCTCTAGTTCTGATCCTGCAGATGATTTTATCACGTCTTCCTGCTCTAGTGTATGCACTGATGTCAGGGGAAGTGTAAATGTTTGTTTGATCTCTTTTGCTTCTGAGATGCTGTTTTCTTGTGATGGGGTTGCACCTGGCTGGCATTTTTTTTAAAGGTAGAGAATATCAGAGTGAGTCTGTGTCTTAGCTTAAAATCCAAGAGCTGGTTATGTTTGGTGCAGTGTAAGTGGTGGGACAACAATAGCATGCTGGTTCAGTCCTCAACACCTTAAATAAGGTCTTTCTACCCAAGAATCAGATCTTGGGAGAGCAGCCCGCACCCAGGATTTGTCCCAGGAAGAGCATCAGGCTTTTTATCCGACCTGCTGTTTTCTGCTCCACCTCCCAGGTTCTCCAGTTATTTGGTTTCTGGGCCTTCCAGTTGAGGCCACTGAGTTTCTGATTTGCGGGTCTTGGGTTTTCTCTTCTTCTCATATTTGACTCTCTGCTCTGGACCCAGGACCTAGTAAGGAGCACTCTGTTCACCCAGCTTACCCCTGCCTAGACCAGGCCCTTAGAATCCTCAGCAGCTTATAGAAAAAGGATTTAGACCAAAATCGAGTGTGATTTCCAGTTTTTACTAATTCTCTAGTGGAAGTGCTCTGTTTATTTCAAGGTAATGGAATTTGAACTTCAAATACTTCAGGAGAAAGGAATGTTTTCCCTTTATTCCATAATTAGTTTCTGAGAACCTAGTAAAATAAGAATCTAGCACAAGACAGTATCACAGTTACTATAATATATAATATATAATAATAATGGTTAATATTTACCTAGTGCACTCTCCCTAGTACTGGTCTAAGTGTGTTGCAGTCTTAGCTCATTTAATCCTCCCAACCAATTAAGCAAATACTATTAAAATGATATTACTGATACACAGAGAGCCTAAAGAGTCATCAGTCACCCAGGTAGTAAAAAGAGGAGATAGGATTTGAGCCTTATTAGTCGGACTCATTAGATCACTTTTAACTATTGCACCATAATGCGTTCATGCGCCAGACATTTTTCATAATATTGGTCTGACACCTATTCTAGCAAGAAGTTATAAACACAAGATGATGTCATAAAAATCTTTAGGGAATTGTTACCTAGGGAATTGTTAATTTCAAACATTAAGAAGTATCATTTGAAACATAGTCTGTTTCCTTTGGGGAATCTCAAGTAAAAGAAAATCATAGAAAATATTTATTGGGGGGGAAGTTGCATATTATATGTGTGTGTGCTCAGTCATGCAGTCATTTCCCACTCTTTACAACCCCATGGACTATAGCCCACCAGGCTTCTCTGTCTGTGGAGTTTTGCAGGCAAGAATACTGGAGTGGGTAGCCATTTCCTACTCCAGGGGATCTTCAGGACCAGGGATTGAACCAGAGTCTCATGCATCTTCAGCACTGGCAGGCGGATTCTTTACTGCTAAGCCACCTGGGAAGTACATATTGCTATTATATACTGGGTGTTTAATATTCTTAAAATGTGTTCCATGTAACGTTCGAGCTTAAAATTTTAAAGCTAACATGGGTTAACCCCAGCAAGAAATTTTGAACTAAGCTGAATAACTTTTTTAAAAGGAAAACTCCACTGAAGCTAAGATTTAAAGAAAAAAATTGATATAAAGATTGAACTCTGAGAAATGAAGCAATCTGTTTTGTGCCCACTTTAAAAAGATCAAATTAGACTAGTTCCTGACATAAGATCAGTTTTAGTGAGGATCTATAGATTTGGAATGTAGCCAGTAAAATACTGAGATCTCTCAAAGTGAGTTCTGTTAAATGAAAGTCACTCTTGGAATCTGACTTGAAACTCTCATAATCCCTTGCCATCCAAATAAAGATATTTAATTTGTCAGATAATTTCACCTCAGGGGGGTGAAAGAAAGAATCTTGACTGAGATGTAAATAATCACATTTCCAATGCTGAAGGCATTTGTTCCCTGTGGAATCTTTTCATCAACATGACAATAGTCATTTCTTTTGTGGTCATAACGATTATAATATGTTACTTGAAGAAGCCTCTCTCCAGAGATTTGATGTCAGATACAGTTTGCTTGAAGATAGAACTCAGGCTGTAAGCTCACAGAACAGAAACTGACAAGGAAATATTTTTTTAAAGAATTAGTTTAAAATAATGTTTAGGAAACAAAATGCATGTTGACCAACTCCAAACTATTTATAGTGCTGTGAGGAACAGTCAAGAGTTTGTTTCTTTTTGTTTTTTGTCTGTTTGTTTATTTTCTCCCTTCCAAACCTACAACTTTGAAAGACTAAGTTAATCCTCCATAGAAAGTTAAGGTTCAACAATATGTCTCGGGGGAGGCCCAGGAATCCACAGTTTAATAAGAATCCCTCCTTCACAGGTGGGTGATTCTAAAGCTGGTAGCCCAACAACCAACCTCCACACAGCAAGCATTGTTTCCATGGCTGGTAGGGATAATGATGGTAGCTTTAGACCAAAATGGTGAGAGTAGATTTGGTGAAAATTGGTAGGCAGACGACCCAGGCCCAGGAGCTAACACTGGGTGAAATAAAATATTTGATTTTCCTAACTTCACCTGCCGCTAAGTTGAACTTTGTAGAAATTTGAAGCAGTGCTGCACGCTTCTTCGCTCAGGCCCTGGGGTATCCGGGTGCTGAAACTATGCATGCTTACTGATTGTGTGTGTTGGCATGGGGCAGCAGGGTAGTGAAATAGTCTATAATTAAGGAAGAGGAAAGCTAAATGCTGTGTGTTCTGAAAAAAAGTATTTTCAGGGACTTCAAAGTCTTATCTAGTTGGCCTGAGATAATTTTTCCGATATGATAGTTGTATCTTTCAGAAATGGTTTCATGACCCTCTCCACAAAGGGGGCCCCAGTGTCCCTGCTCTGTGCCAGCGGGCATCCCTCACTTATGTTCCTTTATTTATATTGCTGTCTGTCCTCCACTTAATAAGAACTCCCAGACGGGAAAGTCTCAGACCTCCCAGCCACCTCCTACCATCAGTGCTACATCCTTCTGCCCAGTCCACAACTCTCGCAAAACAAGATGGAACAGTGTTCTTTTCTTCTTGACGTTTGCCCCTCTGTTCATGGCTCAGGTTTGGGCATAAAGATGGAACTGCTTTGTCATGTCTCAGTGGGGTATCGAACTTCCTGCCAACGCTTTCTCTTCTTGCCTGGCAGTTTCGCGTCCACAGGCACACATGATCCCTCCCCTGTATTTCTGTGCCCATGGAGTCTTGTGTGAGTTGTTCCCTCATCCATGATACCCGCCTTGTCTCTGAACGACATCCCTGGACATCCATCCTCAGGAAGCTGCTCGCTCGTTACCCCAGTGCGGGTGGCATGACCACCCATGCCTCCCACTTCCTGTTTGACTTCATGTACCAGGCAGTGGATGGGACGGATCCTGTACTCTGAGCTGCAGCGTGGCCACGGTAATAGCTGCTTGACTGAATAAAGGAAGGCATGCCCCATACCTGTTCGCTTTGTTTCTGGGCCAAGAGACACTGGTGTTGGCAACTTGGGAATTAAGGGATTGGAAATGGCGGAGAGATATTTGAAGATGGTTCCTGAGACGTTATGGAGGGCTTCCCTGGTGGCTCAGTGGTCAAGCCTCTGCCTGCCGATGCAGGAGACACGGGTTCAATCCCTGAGCTGGGAAGAGCCCCACGTGAAGTGGAGCCAGTAAGCCCGTGGCCCTCACCTGTTAAGCCTGTGCCCTAGCGCCCCGGAGCCACACCTAATGAGCCCAGAGGCCACAACTACTGAAGCCCTTGAGCCCTAGGGTCGATGCCCCACCACAAGAGAAGCTCCCACAGGGAGAAACCTGCGTGCCGCAGTGGAGTAGCCACGCTCTTTGAAACTAGAGAAAGGCCCATGCAGCCGTGAGGACCCAGCACAGCCAAAAACACATAAAGAAAGAAAGAAGTGGCGGGAAGAAGTCTGTGGTTGCCTGGGTATGGGAGGCAACAG